CCACCATGCCCAGCTAATTTTTTTTTGTATTTTTAGTAGAGACGGGGTTTCACCATGTTGACCAGGATGGTCTCGATCTCTTGACCTCGTGATTCACCCGCCTCGGCCTCCCAAAGTGCTGGGATTACAGGCGTGAGCCACCGCGCCTGGCCATGTAATTTGTTTCTTTACACACAGAGCAGTCTCTTAAAATTACTATCCAGAAGGAGACCTTTCTGAAGAAAAGAAAAATATTTTCAAGTGAATCTTCTAATCCTTCATATGTTTTTCTATAATTAGTCCTACCTTTTTTTTAACCCTTCAGTTTTATTTTGAAATAAATGAGTAGTTGGCATTTAGAGTCCTTGCCAAGTAAAACTTCATGCCTTTGTGTATCTCTAAGAAGCAGACAACAATCTGATGGAGAAAGTAAAAGCCATCAGCTCCTCATTAGCTTGAGTTGCAGGCTTATTATTGTGCGAGGCACTCTTTGACATTTACAGTCTTCGGGTTAAACCCTGGTTTTAACTTTTTCTTTTCCTGAGCATTTTGTTTGATAGTGTAACATTTTCTGATGCTTTATCTACTAATCCTTGGTTAATGTTTTCTTGTTTAAAAAGAAGGGCATTTTTTAATGGAAAATTTTGAAAATATCAGTACCCCATAAAGAAGAAAGTTAATGACTATCAGTGCTACCACCTAGAGATAACCATCAGCAAATTATGAAGTGACACCTGACAGAAATTCTACACAGCTCACAGTTTTATTATTTTTACAGGTCTTCAGTTTGATAGACAGAGCATATCATCTTAATTATATTTCTGTGTCTTAATTGCAGATGGAAGTTTTTTATGTTTGTTGGTCATTCTTATTTCTTCTGTAAATTGTTATTTCATAGATTTTTGTTATCAATTTTTGAGAGTCCTAAATATATAAACTATATTAGCCCTTTGTCATGTATAATATAAATTCTTGGTGTTTTAACCTGCTGTTCATTTCCAGAGTTTATGTGAGTTGAGTTGAACTATGGTTTTATATGTTACTATCAGTAGAATAAAGTATGAATATTTGAAAAATACCCCTTCAACTTCAGAGTGATTCTTGACTTGAAAAAAATTATAAGGAATCATTTTGGACACATTTTCTGGTAGAGCCTTGTAAAAATTAAAACCAAGTATTGTTTTCAAGAAGAACTGTAATACATAAGTCAAGAATTTGAGTAGGGAGATTATTTTAGTATTTAAAATTAAACTGGCTCTGTAGCTTTAACTTTAGTGTTGCAGGTAGAGTAAGCTTACATGATAATAATAAAAATCCTAGTCTTAGTAACTTTGTGATTCTGATATTTATTTATTGATTGGTTATTGTTCCAAATATTTTAAAAGATAGTAAGTAGCTAAAACTACCCAGATTTGTTTACCACAATATGTCTCCCTTTCTAAGTTATTAATATCTCCCCTAAATATACTGCCTTTTAAAATGTTTTGGTTGACATTATCATTATACAGTAAACCTTTCCTACCCTTTACAAAAGTGAATTTAAAGGAATTTTGCACTTTCGAAATTTATTCTTTTTTACAATTGAGTATTTTGATGATACATAATATAGTATATAAGCCCTAAGAAAGATTGCTACTGCTGTTTTATGCCTAATGAGAATAAGCAAATATAATGAAAACTCACATTCACAAAAATACGTTACCTAGTTAATGATTCCATTATAACTCTGTTAAACCAGTTTTCAGAGGACTTTTAGAAAACTTAGGTTGAATATAGACTTTACCCATAGTTAAATAATATTTAGAAATATGAAGATCATGAATCTTACTGTATTGGTTTAAGGCGTAGTGGTTCCTCTAATTTTCTGATTGTTCCCTTCCCCAGTTTATATGAATGCTAAAAAGTTTCTCTAGCTACAAGTTTTATAGGTGCAAAGAAAAGAAATTTGAAGTAAAATTTAAATTTATTCAGGCAAAAACAGACTTTTGCTTTGGCAGAGTACCTAAAATCATGTCTAAGGCCACATTCACGAAAAGAAAAAAGTAATAAAGGATGAATTAGCCACTGAATTAATTTAGAGTAGTGATAATTGGAGGAGGATAGGAAGGTCAAGCTGGGTGTCACATTCACAGATTTAGACTTTTGACATTATTTCCACATGCCATTATATGTATAGTCAAAGAGATGACTGGCAAGTGTGAAAGAAGATGATTTTCATTGTAAAGTTGGAAATGCATTCCATTACTAGACCACCTCATAATGTTACACACAATAGATACATTTTAAAATATCCACATCATAACTTTGTGGATAGCACAGTTGTATTGCATTGTATTTATCTGTGTTCAGCATTCATTTGTTAAATGTAAATGCTTAAGTTATACCAGAATTTTCCCATTTTGAGTTTCTCAATTTTTTATATAGAGTAAGAACTCATGCAAATAAAAGTACCCTGGCATTCATTAACTTCCAAGAAACCCTGAACTCTCCAGTTCACTCTGTGTGAAGTTTAAAAATGTACGATTCTGTTGTTATATGTCTCCTTCTGAGGACAGCGTGTCCTGTATGGTTATAGTCTCATTGAGGGCCGAAGTGGTCTTGTTCACTTCTATATCCTCAGTATGTAGTAATTAACACAGTGCTGAGCGTGTGGTGGGTGCTTAGATGTTTCCATGATCAGATTAAACCCTTTTTTTGGTTTTTCATTTCTTAGTTTTTGAAACGTTCTTTAGAGGAATACTTGAAGAATTGTTTTGGAGAAAAAAAAATATCTTTGAGAAATTTCTTGCCCTGTGTTAGAGAAACAAATATTTTTTGACAAAATTTATTTGACATAAATATTTTGTTTATTCCAAATGTAATGATCCAAAACATTTTATGATCTTTACAGCTGCAGTGAGAAGAGGAGTTTGTTACTTTAAACAGAGGCTGAAGAAACTATAGAATCAGCAGAGAAAGTGGAGAAGGTAGAGGATGGAGTTGCAGACTCTACAGGAAGCTCTTAAAGTGGAAATTCAGGTTCACCAGGTACGTTGTAGTATTGGCTTCTCCCACACTGTTGTTAAGTAATGGTCAAGATTAGTAAACAAGCCCATCTCTGGTGTTTAGTACAGTTTGTAATCATCTTTAAGACAGTTACCCAAGAGTCATGTCATTTGCCTTTTATCACTACTCGAAAAGTCTAGATACTACTTTTAAGAAATTAAAGAAAATATTCCTGACTTCCTTTCTAAAGAAAAGAACTGAAAAGATTATTTTTTTAATATACCAGAGGTGTTAACAAAAAAGAAAGAAATCTTTTTTCTGCTTTTTGGTTCATCTGAAGGGCTTTATTCATGTGATTTAACTTGCATGTTTTAAATAACAACATGTCTAACTCAACTACCATATGTACTAAAATTTTTACAGATCATATGACTCAGCTTTATGTGTTGATTCCAATCTTTCGTAAAGAAAATGTGATTGTCTTCACAGATGTTTAAATTTCAGATTTCACAATTCTTATATTTTATCTCAGATACCCAGACTAAACATTTAAAGTAATTATAAAAATGTGTATATAAATAAATTTTAAATATGTTTGTAAAACAATATTTTATGTGTATAATAATAAAATATTAAAATATTAAATGTAATTTATATGTGAATATATGAAAGTAAATGTATACATAACTATACTATAATCAAAACAAAAAGCCATCTTTAAATAATTACATAATTAAAATTTTGTTATCTAAACCGAGTACCACTGTTTTATATCTTTCTAGACTTTAGCTGGACATCAGACTGAAGACATACATATGTATGCATGTATATAGTCCTTGGTACTCAAAAATGATTAAGGATGATGCATTGACTGCTTCTGAATTTGTAACAATGGGGGATATGGGAGTGGAGAGAAGGAGAAGTAAAACTACTTTTTAAAGGTGTTTGTTCTTAGGGTATAGATTCCTTTGTTTTATCTGAGTAGTCTAAGATAACATTAGCTTTTGAAATCACTGGGAGAATATCTTGGGCCTTTGATAACTACTAGATTTGCATGTTGCCCAGAATTAGTGTGGGTGAGAACTTAAAGGAAGCTTCAGAAGCACCTGTTCAGAAATCCCTGCTGCCACTCCGGATCTCGTTAAACTCTTGTTCCGCTGCAGAGTTGGCCCTGTGCACATGGGCTTCTTTAAGTAGGTAATAAGCAGCATACTTTTTTTTTTAAAAAAAAAAACCTTGCTTCTGGTACTGAGGAGAGTAGAAATTTGTTACAAAAACAAGCTTGCCTTTTTCTGAGTGAAAGTAGTTTAACATAGAGGTGTGTTGAATACCCAGTTTGGCTGAATGGCAAGTGATAAAAATTAAATTCACATTTTGTTCAAAGCTCTCAGCATCATAGAATGAATTTTGGGAATATAGGAATCAATCTGAAATTTGTGTGGATAAAGGATGATTTTATTTATTTTTTTATTTTTATTTTTTTTTGAGACGGAGTTTCACTCATGTTACCCAGGCTGGAGTGCAATGGTGCGATCTCGGCTCACCGCAACCTCCGCCTCCTGGGTTCAGGCAATTCTCCTGCCTCAGCCTCCTGAGTAGCTGGGATTACAGGCACGCACCACCATGCCCAGCTAATTTTTTTTTGTATTTTTAGTAGAGACGGGGTTTCACCATGTTGACCAGGATGGTCTCGATCTCTTGACCTCGTGATCCACCCGCCTCGGCCTCCCAAAGTGCTGGGATTACAGGCTTGAGCCACTGCGCCCGGCCAAGGATGATTTTATGATGTGTGTGATTTTTGGAGTTTTTCCTCTTCTGAGGAAGTATTAAGATGGTAAAGTTAACATTCTGCTTTAGTTCCTCCTTACAAGATGTGAGCAAGTCCCAAATAATCCTTTCTTGAAAGGTTCATGACCTAAATTAATTGAAGTTAATTACTAAATATTTTGTTTCATATTCCAAATTCAAGCATACCAATTTTATAAACATCACAATTATGAAAAACAATATTTATTATTCTGTTTGAAATCTAATTAAAATTTTAAATTTACATTTGTTGACTCAAAAGAGATACAGTATTCTTCCTAAAGTTATTCTAAAAACTCTCTTAATATTCATATTAACTGTCAGTTTTGAGCATACAATTAGTAGCTTTTATATGTTTTTGTGATAGTAAACATTTATATGTCAATAATATTTAACAGAGAACACATAAGATAATTTCACTCTAGTTATATCTTTAATACTTTACTGTTTTTGAAAAAGTAATTTCTGTGGTGTCACCTACACAATCATTGATTATGAGAAATTGAGGCATGCCAGAAATGGCATTGAGGTAGGGGGATTGGTTACTAGTCTGAGACCAAAACCAGAACATACATTTGGCTAAATATTGGGGCCAAAGACACCCTTTGTTGCATTTCCAGCTAGGGTACGAGATTAGGGATGAAACTGAGCTTACTGGATAGAAAATGTTTTCTGCAACTACTTGGTATTGCTGTAGTGAAAACATATTTTTGTTCTTTATGTTTTCTTTATTAATGGGAAGATAGTTATGAAAGTAGCAACGTACACATAGTTGATGCTCAATAAACATTTAAATAATAATGTCCTGTGATGGACATCTCATCTTTTTGGGAAAATCGCCTTTTTTCCTCTTCCCTTCTTCGATCTTATTTAGATTTGATGGAAGTCACATTTAAATTTTCAGGGTATTTACTCCATATGTAATGGAGAATAGTATAAAGCAGAGGTTAGCAAATTTTTTTGTAAAGGGATACGTAGTAAAATATTTCCGGCTTTACAGGTAATTTATGGTCTCTGTCACAACTACTCTGCTCTGCTGTTGCACAGACAAAACAGCTATGGACAATATTATGAGTAGGCTTTTTTCCATAAAACTTTATTTGCAAAAACAGGTGGCCGGCCAGATTCGGCCCACGAGTTGTTTTGCTTACCTTTGGTGTAAAATATATCCTCAAGAAATACTGCCGCATTCTTGCAATAGAAAGTAACTTAACTTTGTTAACATGATGTCAGCTTAAAGTTACTAGGGATTTGGATGATCCAGTAAGTTGTCCATCTTGTCCTGTTCTACCCCTGATTGTTTAAAATGCAGTTTAACTGCTTATAGACAGAAAAGTTGGCTTGTTTATTTCCTCTAGAGGTGAAGACTTGATGTGGTTATCAGTGCATTTTTAAATTCCAGTGTCTGGAAGAAAACCTTTTTCAGCTTCTAAAAGGTAACAGCGTAGTAGCCAGTCCTTTGGTAACCAAATCAAAAAGGAAACTCAAGAACTTTTTTCATTGAAGAGTGTGGCTAGCGTTAATGTAAAAATGTATATGCATAAAACCTTGTGTTTCAATTCTCTTAAACCCTTGGAATGTGCATTGTTACTATTTTGTAGTTTAAGTCTAGGACATAGAAGAACTACTGCCATTAAATATGAAGTAGAATATAGTGACACATACCTTATGTATTTGGAGGTCTCATGGTTGGCAACCTCAGTTATCTAAAATGTGTCTTAGCACTAGCGATAAAGACTTTTGACCAGTTAGAATAAATGTCTGAAGTGATACACCAAAGATTGTACATTTTACTAAAGGAGGGTTTCTTCGATTATTACATCCTATTCACTTGTCTTAAAATGAGTCCAGTGAGTATACCACACAGCAGGTCTGAAGCAGCAAATTTGAGCTGGGTTTCAGGGTTGTTAGAATAGTAGCAAGAGCTGGGCATGGTGGCTCATACCTGTAATCTCAGCTACTCAGAAGGCTAAGGTGGGAGGATCGCTTGAGGTCAGGATTTCGAGATCAGCTTGGATAACACAGCGAGACTTCATCTCTTAAAAATATTAAAAAAAATAAAAATCAGTCAGACCTGGCAGTTCAAGCCTGTAATCCAAGCTACTTGTGAGGCTGAGGCAGGAGGATGGCTTGAAGTCAGGATTTCAAGACCAGCCTGTTTGCTTAGTGAGACCTCATCTCCTAAAAATGTTAAAAAAAAAAAAAAAAAGTTAGGCAGGCCTGGTAGTTTAACCCTGTAATCCAAGCTGCTTGTGAGGCTGAGGCAGGAGGATCACTTGGGGTCAGGATTTTGAGATCAGCCTAGCTAATATAGGGAGATGTCATCTTTACCAAAAAAGGGGGGGAAAAAAAGGCCAGATATAGTGGTATGTACCTGTATTCCCAACTACTTAGGAGGCTAAGGTGGGAGGATTTGCTGGAGCCCAGAAGTTGGAGGCTGGAGTGAGTTATGATTGTGCCACTGCACTGCAGCCTGGGTGACAGAACAAGACCCCATCTTTAAAAAAACAAAGAAAGAATAGTAGCAAGATGTGTTGGGTGACTACTTGATGTTAAGGACTGGACTGAAAAACTACAGCGTGGATTTAAGAACTGTAAAACATAGTACTTTGAGACCTTTTTGGTAAGGACCCTATTGTTTGTAGTTTAATATAATCATTCTTCTAGGTATCCATAAAAGCTTGATTTATTTTATTTTATTTTTTTCTTCTTTTAGAAGTTAGGCCAGGTGTGGTGGCTGACACCTTAATCTCAGCACTCTGGGAGACTAAGGTGGGAGGATTCCTTGAGCCTAGGAGTTTAAGACCAGCCTGGGCAATGTAACAAGACCCTGTCTCTACAAAAAGTTAAAAAATTAGCCAGGCATGCGAGTTTGCACCTGGAGTCCTAGCTACTCGGGAGGCTAAGTTGGAAGGCTCGCTTAAGCCCAGGAGGTCGAGGCTGCAGGGAGCCGTGATCACACCATTGTACTCCAGCCTAGGTGACAGCAAGACCTTATCTCAAAAAAAACCAAAAAGTATAGTTAGATAAATATATAGTATATTTTAGAAAGGTTTTACTTCACAACTAAACACTTTAAAAGTGCCTTGTCACCAAAAGAGAGTGATGTATTTTTCCATTACGTGAGAAATTGACTTGAGTAATAGCATATTCCCAGATACTTTAGGACTTCTGATGCTCCTTTATCCTTCAAATTTTTCTGTCTATGGTTATTGTTACTTTTGGGCAATGATGTTTTTAAAAGTTGGCTTAGGTCAAAAGACATTCATTTTTCTCTCTTTGTTATTTGTTTGGGTTTCTGTTCTCCCTAGTAAATATCTTTTCCATTTAGTATTGGGGTATCACTCTCTTTCCCAGAGGAACCGAGTTAGGTAGAGTTTCATATTGTTCCTGCACTTCCTTGTTCTCAAATACGGAGCTTCACTGCCCCATTGAACTTATCCTTTCCTGCACCCACCTCTGTCTTGAGAGAAGACAGTGGCAAAGTCACATGTGACACTAAGCTCCTTCTGTGGTAAGAACCAGACCAATAGAACTGCCAAATCTGTACTTTGCACTGTGTATAAACAGGCTGGTTTTGTGTAGGGCCAGCTTCTTTCCAGGCCTTGTTTGGACTCTAGACATTGATGACATTTTTTGGACTCTAGACATTGATGACATTTGAAAGGGATATTTGGCTTTTGGAACATCCAGCTTGTTTTAATTCCTTTCAGAAGCCACTGTCTCCCATCTCTGTGTCCAGATTTAAAAATCAGGCACTTTTTCATTTCAAATATAAAGTGGTAGTTTGATTTTCTTTTTTTTTTTTTTTAATGAAAGGGTGTGCTTCCTGAGCCTTTTACGTGGATCACAGGTTTTAGTCTGTTCTGATTGTGGTGTTGCTCATTTTTTTGTGTTGACTTAAAATCCTAGATTTTTTGGTCCAAACCTGATTAGCCATAGGGAGTTAATATGTAAGACTGATAGCTCTTTTTCTCTCTTTATTACCAGAAACTGGTTGCTCAAATGAAGCAGGATCCACAGGTAAACTGCTATTGTTATTCATTTAATTTTCAAATTAAAAAATAATTTAAAGTCAAGTCACCGTAAAATACTGAAATATGGATGATGCTTAACTTTTAAGAATTCTTTCATTTCTAATAGCAGTTATTTTTTAATACATTGATCTTCAGGTATTAAGGGTTTAGAAAAATTCAGTCATTCTAATTTAATATAGCTGTTATTTCATCTTTGTTACTGTCATTTTGGTTTTATATGAATTGGTTTGAGTATTTTGGAGGAAAATATTGAGTTAATACTCTTCATATAGCTTAAATTCGTTTCCATAAACCCACTTATTCAAAATCAGTTTTTGAGGCTTTCTGACATCTCAATATTATGAAAAGTGACCCCAAACCATTTCTGTTTACTTGGAGCTTATATTACAGAACATTTGAATAGTTCTGAATTATCTACTTTCAGGGTAAGAATTTAAGAGTAATTTTTAAAAGAAGCATTTTAGAAAATTTTATTTTTGAAAGAACCTTTAAAGGAGGCTTAAAAAGTACCTTATGTTACTTTTTAACAGAAAAGTTAACAGAGAATGTTAACTTTTCTTTAAATTCTCGTAGGCATTTTTCACTAAGCCATTTTATTCTCTATTCCTGAAGAGACATTTTTCTAAAACGTTATCTTGATGATTATATTTTTTATTGGGTAGTGTCTCTTTTTTAACCATTAGATACTGGGTCATAAGTATGGAGAGTGTTTATCAAATATATCTCTGTATATATCTGGGTTGATAAACATTCCACACAGCCTTCATTGTAAAGTAAAATTAAGTTTTTGGTTGAAGAATGGTACTGAGGCACATTGATTTTTGGAAGTGAAAAATAACGCTTATCTCCACAAATTGAACTCAGGTCTGACTATTATGTTTTGACTCTGAGAGCTGGCATACTTATTCCTATTAAATGGTCCCACTTCCATGAGAAACTTCTCCTTTTTTTTTTTTCTTCAATTTTTTGGCATATTCACAATTTAAATTGAATTTAGTTACAAAAATGAGCTGGGCGTGGTGGCGGGCACCTGTAATCCCAGCTACTCAGGAGGCTGAGGCAGGAGAATCGCTTGAACCCTGGAGGATCGTGCCACTGCACTCCAGCCTGGGCAACAGAGCGAGACTGCATCTCAAAATAAATAAATAATAAATTGGATTTAGAAAACCAAGACGTGGTAGACTTTAGATTAACAGCTCCTTTCCTATTTAATGTGGTAACCTACGTTATCAGCAACTGTGAAATGTTACTAGAAACTATCATTTCTATTATACTTGTGGTCATGTAACAGAATTGTCTTAACCTGAAGAATCTGAGGTGGGCAGGGCAGTAACTTGTTGGACAGCATTGTGGATGATCTCATTGGAGAAACCTTATGTCAAATACACTAATAAAAAAGTAGACATGGGGTAAATAAAATTTAATAGATGAGGAGAATGTATTCCCTAACCCTGACAGAAGACAAAGCAGGGTAAATTGAAAAAATTATATGTGAGACAAATCAAGTAAAAGTGGTCTCTCATTAGGGTGGTGTTCAGTCTGCTAGTAGGCTGTCCTGCTACATTAAGCATTTGAAAACTTTAATTTTGGAATTTTTCTGCCTACTTTAGTAAAAGGCAGTCATGCTCAGTGTATCTCATCTAAAATAGTATTCTTTTTTTGATTCCTAGAATTTTAGAACTGAGAAAATGCCCTGGTAGTCACTGTGTTAATTTGAATGATGTAGTGTTAAGGCAGTTGCAGCACTGACAGCTTTTCAGATCTAGGCTAAAATAACAAATGTACTTTGCTAAATAAGGGAGAGGGCAAGTGGAGAAAAACCTCTTATCTTTGTTGATAATGCTGTAAAGCATGTAGTGTATGTATACTTATAAACCCCCATTTACCTACTTCTGTGTGATTAGTGGAGCTTTGGGTTTTCTGTCAACAGAAAACTTTCTATAAAGAATAAGAGTATTAAAAAAAAAAAAAAAGAATAAGAGTATTTTAGTGGACAGGTACTCTTACAGCGCAGGATGCTCAAATATAAAACTTCATGTAATTTAAAACAATTGCAGAGAAGCTGTTCCTGCTTTGGTGCTAGGAGCCTGTATTTAGGATCTATGCATTAAGTGATGGTATTGTGGCCACAGTGTAATAATACATGACAGATTTGATTGGCTGTATGCTTCAGGTTGCTTCATCATTTGTGATACAGTATGCAGAGTCTTCCTGCTACTATTCTGTTAACAAATGAAATGTCTTTCTCACAGATATTTTTTCTTTCCAATCAGAATGCTGACTTAAAGAAACAGCTTCATGAACTCCAAGCCAAAATCACAGCTTTGAGTGAGAAACAGGTAGGGGAAAAGGGGAGGGGGGCATATTTTTAACATTGTGTTCTAAAGATATGTCTGCTAGAGGCTTCTAAGAGAACTGCTATTTTTCCTCATGTGTGAAAATAAGTGTGGGCAGCCAGACTCGGTTTTAATTTTGTTTGAGCTCTGTTTATCTATTTTTATTTTTGGTTGAAATCAGTCTCTAGAGTATCCCATGGGTATATGTTACTGGCAAATACCTAAAAGCAATGTGGCAGGCTGCCGTTAACTGTGTTAATTAAACTCTATGGTTTACCCATAGGGGAGGGAGTAAAGACAGCGAGAGTAGGTGATAGAGAATCTTGTAGGTGCTGTGTGTACCTCGTTACCTGTCTTAAAACCTTGAGATGACATTTAACTTACTGTGGAGAAAATCTTGTTGTAAGTAGATTGCTCTAAATGTAGGTCTCCCATTCTAAGTATGGTCATGCCTTTATGTTAATCTCTATTAGATATTGACCTACTATTATGTGAAAAAACTTTGGTGAAATCTTGTTAGACTTATTCCATATAGGGCAGGAGAAGAAAATCTTGCTTTTTTCTGAGGACATCTGGAAAGTATTCTTTGGAATTTTTTGTATGATGACCTACACTTTACCAATTCAAGCAGTGCCTGCCACCAGGTGGAGTGTGGCAATTGATAGAGCTTTAGGTAAACGTTTATGGTAATCTCATAAAGCATTTATTTTCTTGTTTCTTCCCCACCACTCTCCCTCTGATTAGAAAGAGTGGTTTTCTGTCTTGGAGTAGGTGAATGTATTAATGAAAAGAATAAGGTGATTTGCAGTTGATATTTTGTGCCAGTGACATTTCATTGAAGATTTTTGACGAAATAGTTCTCAATAACTGATTTTTATGTTGTTATTTAATGTTATTTAGTGAAATAATAACAATGAGAATAATTTATTCCTGTAGACTTTTTATTGTGTTTCTATTGTGTTTTCATTTAACTGAGGGGAGAAATAAACTTTGAGAACTATGTGGAAGAGATATGAATCATTAATGTTTCAGAATAGAATCATCTTCCAAGCTGAGTGAACAAATGCTTTATATTCTTCCCTCCTATTCTTATGCGTCCCCACCTTGTCTTCTCCACAGACAGGAGGTATTTTAGATTAGGGAATTGCCAAACTAAAATTGGGAGGAGGTGGGATGGTGGAGAACAATTTGTAAGAAAAAATATAAACAGAGTTGGTTAGCATGTATTTGGCTCTGAATGTGATTCAGTTCTCTAAAGTCAACATGATGTGTGTTAGTGAAAGTGTTCTAGCTTTAGAATTCTGTTAGTGCTGAGCCTCCTTATAGTTTCAGGGTTAGTTTGACAAGATGCCAATGAATGAGTCACATTTGCTGAAAAATGCACGTGTTCCAGCAGGGAAAGAAGGTGAGAACTGATTAGCGGAGTAGGGGTTGGGGGATGCTGTTGCAAAGTTAAGATAACTTAAGACTACATTTGGGGAAAGTGGGACAATTTTTAGAATTTCACATTTACTCGAAATTTTTGTTTGTGAGAACTAACATAGATTTGGTTTATTCTGTAACTTTTTATTCTTTAATCTTTTTCTGCTATGGACCTTACAGAATAGAAAATTGCAGCTATCTGTCTAAGATATTTCATCAAGTGGCAAGCTCTAATTGTCCTCTGAACTAAGTTTGGATTTCAGAAACTAGAATTTTTAAAAATGTCTAACATCAGGAAAACTTTAGATATACAAAGTAAATAAAACTAGAGTCAGAAACTAGAATTCAGTCCTGCAGTTTTTATAATATTTCCTTAACTATTAAAACAACTTTCTTGATGGAACAGAAAAATATCATTTTTAGGTAGGCTAATAATTGAAGGAAGCACAGCCGTAATGTTCAAAGGTTCATCCCTCCTCAAACTTTTCAACATGTGACATTATTATTTAGTTTAAAATAATTTTATTGGCTAGGCATGGTGGCTCACGCCTTTAATCCCAGCACTTTGGGAGGCCAAGTCTGGCAGATCACCTGAGATCAAGGGTTTGAGACCAGCCTGGCCTACGTGGCGAAACCCCGTCTCTACTAAAAATAAAAAATTAGCTGGGCGTAATGGCACGTGCCTACTCAGCTACTCAGGAGGCTGAGGCAGAAGAATCACTTGAACCTAGGAGGCAGAGGTTGCAGTGAGCCAAGACTGCGCCACTGCACTCTAGCCTGGGTGACAGAGCGATACTTCGTCTCAAAAAAATAAAATAGTTTTATTTTAGAACAGCTTCCTAATGCTATGCTCATTTTTTTTCCTCAAAAGAGCCATTTATCCTCTGGCAGAACCTAACCAATCGTCCTTCCACTTTAATAACTAAAGTCTGAATTACCTTATTCATATGACTAATATTTTAATTTAACATTAATTTTTTGTTAGAAAAATTTAAAATACAGAAAAGTTTGGAGAATAATGGCATATTTCACACTTAAACCCTTGTCATATTTACTTCCACTCTTTGTGCATTTTTCTGTAATCCTTTTTTCATTATTTATTAGAAAATTTTAATTATACAAATAATGGATTCATACATTCTCTTCTTTTGTTTTATTAAAAAAAATTGTATCAGACCTCTATGTCAAAAAAAAAAAAAGGAAAAAAAAAACCATTGCAGATAGTCACTATCTCTTGCAGTAGACACTAGTTCTTATTTACTGTCGCCACTTCAATCTTTGATACTTACTCAGTTTCTCCCTTAAAACTATGTAATCGTATGCTCCATTTGGGAAAATACAGCCTTTAGTAAGCAGCCTTCCTGGCTAAACCTCAGTGAATTTCATCAAATTCTTGATTGGAAAGTTCTAGTGCTTTTAAACTGTAACTTGAGATTTCCAAAGAGAAACTCTGGCAGATTTCAGTCAGCTTCTTGACCTGCAGGGCTTCAATTTGGGGCTGACAGTTTTAACTCAGAAAATCCCTGACTTGATTGGCTCAATAAATTATATCCTATATAGCCATTAAGATCATGGTTCTGGGAAGTATTTTAATGATACAGGAATGTGCTCTGAAATAATAAGTGAGAGAGTACACACAACTTTATGTGCATTACAGTTCCATTTTTATGTTTATTTTGGGTATATATGTATGTAGGCATGAAAATGTATGTAGAAACAGTGTCAGCATAAAACATGGGAAGGTGGTAAGTTTACAGGTGGTTTATTTTTTCCATATACTCTTACATATATTTTCTAAATGCTCCACAATAAATGTTTCCCTTTTAGAATCAGAAATAAACAAGAAATATTATTAAAAAAAATTTTTTTAACATCAAGCTCTTGTCTGTTTCAGGCATAGTTCACATTTAGAAGTCTAATGACATTCTTCTCATGGTATTAAATATATGAACCACTCTAATCAGAGAATCCAACTATTTTAAACACTTACTAGTAATGCTGAAGTGCAGAAGCAACTATTAATTTCTTTAACAGAATTCACTCTCATTCTCACTCCACACCCCCTTATTTTTTGATAAGCATATGTAGTCTTTTATGGAGATATTCTGATGTGGAGCTAAAGCATTTAGTTGCTTTAGTTGTCTGCTTTCTTTCTAATTTCTTGTAGAGGCAATCTTAACATCCCCAAGTTTGTTGCTTCTTACTGTGGTGCTTCAGGGTTAGCCCATCGTGGTTGCATCTTTGGTTTCCCCAGCCTGAACAGTTTGCTGCCCTATCTCCCCTTACCTGGTGGCCTCCTGCTGAGGTTTTATGTCATAGCTTAAATGTCACTTCCTGAGAGGAGCTATCCCTGACACTCCTTCCTCTAGTCAAAATCAGCTGTTTCTGTTATAATCTGTCATTGAACCCTTCAATTTTCCTTCATAGTTATGCAATTTAGGATTATGTTCAGTTGTGGATGACTGAAAATCCAAAATGAAAATGATGTAAACAGGGAAAATTTAATTTCTCTCTCATCTAAAAGTTCTGTAGGGGGATTAGGGCTGCTGAGAGTGGTTCCATGGTGTCAGGGAACCCAGGTTCCTCCTATTCTGTTGCTCTGCCATTCTCAGCATGCAGCTTTCACATCATCCTCCAAAATAGCTGCTCCATCTGGTAAGAAGGGGGAGAAGCAACAAAGAGCAAGCCCTTTATTTTTTAAGGATGTTTACTAGAAGTTGCATGCAGCACTTAGATCCCATGGGTCTGAACTTAGTCATGTGGGCCCCGCTAGGAGCAAGGAAGTCTGGAAAATGTAGTTAGTTTATTGCTGGTGGTCATGGCCAGATAAAATTCAAGGACTATTACTAAGAATTGAGAAATTTGAGACTTAAGAATTCTCTAATATAAAAAAAAAAAAAGAATTGGGAAATAAATACTAGGAATGATTAGCATTTTCTCCTATAGTAGCATACCTCTATCTGTAGGATTACTATTTTTAAAATATCTGTTTTCCTCATTAGATTGTTAGTTTCAAGAAGGCAGGGAACATGTTTGTTTTATTTGCTTCTTTATTCATAGTATAATATTTAGTATAATATTTAACATAGAATGATATTAACACAGAAGTACTTATATTTTTTAAATGAATTATTTTATCCACCAGATCTTTTGCTCTGTTTATATCATAATTTTTTTATAGAACGGTATGCCTTTTTATGCTTTTTAAACCTAACTTATGAAAATCTTCTTAGATTTTTTTAGTGTTCTTTGATATTATTTTTAACAGCTTTAAATATTAATGTAATTGATTTTTAAAAACTATTCTTCTCTTACTTGATAATAGGGTATTTCCAGGGTTATTTGCTATTATCAATATTGCTGTGATAGATAAACCCTTCTATATGAAATGAATGTGTGTTTCTCTCTGATTGCTTTAGGATAAATTCTTAGATAAGTGATGAGTGGGTTTGTTGGTCACATGTTACCCTAACAATTCTGCATCAGAAACCAGTGTTTTATTGAGTGGCTTTCAACACTGCCAGTAGTTGTACCTAACTGGTCAAAGATTTGATTATCTCTTTAAGAAAAATAAGCTTGAT